AAGAAAACTATGACTTGATTAACTAGCCCAAAGTTACACTACCAGCTGGTAGAGAAAGAATGAGCCCCTAGACCAGTTTAACTAGATGGAAGGATCCTGAGTCCCTGCATGACTATGTGGAGCAAAGCCCAGAATCCAAACCTGATTTGTGAGTGAGTGAAAAGGGAACAGTATCGTATGATAGCATTGGGATTTTACACTCTTTATTATAGCCATCAATCTACGGCTGACTTAGTACAGGAAAGATGGGGTAGAAACACTTAGGCATTACTGACTTAGGAATTCTCTTCATAAGATTGCTTTTGATATTTGCACAAGACAAGGTATTTGCCTGAAAGAAAATCATTCTCTAGGCAAATCTCTACTAGGCTCATTTGTCTTCTACAGTAGGGGATGAAAAGCTGGGCATACTAACCCAGGACCCCTGACACTGTTATGAACAGGTTGCTCACAAATAAGGCTGGATAGACACCAACTGAGAATGCCTCTGCTCAGGTTTGACTGTAGTGTAAAACCTAATGGTTCAAGGGTTACTTATTTGTTTGCTCTATTTTGATGTTTTTCACTTTAGCAGAGATTCTCTTTTTTACTACAGTGGCCAGTATGGCTGTAAGGGAGGGAGTGATGTATTACCATACACATTGGTCTCTGGGAAGTTCCCTTATACAGTTAGACTGTAAGCTCCATGATGGCATCCTGATGGTTCAACCCAATATGCCTGGTATCTAGTCCAATGCCTGGCACACAGCAGATGCCCAAAATTTGTTGAATGAATGAAAGAATGAATGTTTAAATAAAAGCCCAAGCAAACACAATTTAGAAATCCATAAAGTTACTTGGGCTCTTTATGCCAATGGCATATATGACTCAAGGATCGCACTAAGGAGGGACCCAAAATGCTTGTATAGTAGATGCAACAGCCAGTTAACATATGCTTATTGACTGAGTGATGCTGCCTCATGCTGCACCTGATCCACTGTCATGAGAAGTCATGGAAAAGCATCAGACAGGCTAACTTGTATGGGATGCTATTTTTCATTTCATCTCCAAGGATGCTGTAAATATGATCATCACAAAATCAATCCTGGTTTCATTTGCATGAGTCATACGAAAGGCTGAGGAAGTCAGCTGAGCAGAAAGCCAAAAAATACCAACATTCTTCTCAACATTTACCTCTAATAGATAGAGTTTAAATGAATGAAAACAGGGGAAATTCAGAAGTATCCTTAAAACTATTTGTCCTTGCATTAAAAAAAAAAAAAAAAATGCAGCCTTTGGTTCTCCGCAGTGATTAGTGCAGAATTCTGAATATCATGTCTAACTCTCTCATTAGGGAATGCAGCAGCTGGAATGTCTTTCAGACTACAGATTTCTTTCCTGAAAATCAGATGTAGGACTTCAATATGACCTGAGTGTATTATAGTTTACTTTAACACAAACGAAACTTTACAGGGATGCTGTCTCTCTAATTAAAGGCATTTATGGAAATAAATCCAACAAAACTAAACTTCAGGGCAGAAGTAAAAGAACAGACTGTCTTTAGTTTGAAGAACATGGCTCCGGTGAACTTAAATATTTACCATGTAATTTTTATATCAAAGTCTTAATGAGCAATAACTTTATGGCATCACTTGTGGAAACAATATAAAATATTACATTCTGGACTGCTATGTTTAGTTGGATTGCCATTATGGGCACCATTTAATTAAAAGTTGACTTCATGAAAAATAATGAACTATTTCTTTCTGAACTTACAATTTCAAACACTATCAAAGAATAGCATAACCTGAAGTCAGAGATTGTAGACTTTTTCCAAGTTTTTTTTTTCTTTAAATCAAGTTGCCACAGAGATTCAAAGCCCCCAAAGCAGGTGTTCTTTTCTGATCCAAAGAATGAGAAATATTTGAGAAAATCCTCTCTCATAATCCCCCCGAGAACACACCAAGAAAAACTGCTAAGCTTCCATTTCAAATGTTAGGGATTTGGATTGAGTTTAGACAACAGCTTGCACAAAATGTCATAGCTCCAGTTGTCTTACGCTGAGATGGTGGGTGCTGATGTCATAGAAAGGATGGCTTTGTACACTTTAAACACAGGGCTGGAAAGGCAATGCTACATGACAGCAGCCAACCAACTGAAAAGTTTTGCAGTTAGTTGAAAAGGAAAATCGGGCAATCTCTTCTACACATTCAAAGTGAAGTGGAGAAATAAGTCAATTACTTTCCTAAGTCACACTAAACAGTAACATTAATGCTTCCTTTGCTGCTCTTAAATATCCAATAATTCAAACAATGTTCTGTATTCAGAGTATTTGGGAAGTATCTCCATTTCCGATTCCCTTTTGAATGTGTCCCATCGTGGAGACCCCTGGCAGACAAACCTGTAGGGCTCTAGCCTGATTATCTTGAATTCCTAATTGAAATTAATGGGCTGATTTATTCAAACACATAGTATGTGCTTTACATTCACTGGAAAGTCATATGAGTAAGTTCTTCGTGCTCGTTCCACATGCTTTTACAGTATTTCTTCAGCTCCACTCTCATATAACATCCTGAATTCTTCACAAAAGTACTGGCTGCTTATCTTCTGTGAGTGGATAAAGGTTCCTTTGTAAATACCTCCAGTTTTACTTCTATACTTCATGGTTTTAACTTGCATAACTTGCATTAAGACTATGAGTTTTTCCTCTTAACCCCTACCCATCCAGGTGAGAGCTTCTCCATCCATGTTAACATAAGACTGTGTATGGATTTCAAGGAGAAAAAGAAGAGAAGATTACAGTTTGTGAGCTGTATGGACAAAACATCCCTTTTCACACAGAATGTATGTAGAGAATACTATAAACAGTACACAATCAGTGAACAAAATCAGATGTTGTGAAAATGACCTTGGAAATGGTGTTGTGAATCTTGTCCAACGCAGTTCTATGACCTTTAGGCATCACTAGCTCAAATATCATTTAACTCAAGGGGGTTGAGGAACTTAAATAGGAAAAGTATTACCTCTTTGCTTTCACTAACCGCAAAGTGAAATTTAGGATTTCCTTCAATTATGGTACAATGTAGGCCACAAACCACTGTACCTGTGATTTTGTTGCCAAAAGAGATCAGGAATTTTCACATCATATTATAGTTGCTGTGTTGTTGTTAGGTGCTGTCAAGTCAATTTTCAACTCATCATAATCCCATGTAACAGAGTAGAACTGTCCCATAGGGTTTTCTAGATTGTAATCTTCATGGGAGCAAATTGCCAGGTCCTTCCTTTTCTATGGGAGTCACTCAGTGGGTTTAAACCACCAATCCTTTCAGTTAGCAGCTGAAATGAAATGGTGGTAAACATTGCACCACCAGGTTTCCATATCTGAAAGACATCTTTTATATCCATCCCCACTTCAAAATTGTGGTAGTTATTATATATACTGATAGCTATAACCTTTATGAGATAAATTAAATGATGAGATGATATCTCAGTAGATGTCCCTTAAATATAAATACGTTAGATGTTTTGGGAAATCCCTCAAGGGAGCCCCTGGCTAAACACACATATCAAATGCCAGCAATTTTAATGAATATCTACTCATTAAGAGCTGCTGAGAAATTATGGATATGCCCGTATTTATTCACTCATTACTGCACCCAACTGCTGTTCAAAATGCTTATCTACCAGAGTAAAATAAATTCTAGTATTGGAATTCTGAAACTAAGGACATAAAAATTAAGAATATATTATTTTTAAAAATTAGATATAATTCACATTCCATAAAATACATATTCTTCATATATTTAGTTAAACCATTTTTTTTGTACTCTTCAAAATACTAACCATATTACATATTACTAGCCTAAAATTTACCTTTTTTTTTTTTTTTTTCCCTGTTCAACTTGTAAGATTTAGAACCCTGGTTATAAATCTCAGCTTCAGTGAACTTCAATACAGAAGGTATTCGGTGAATTATAAGTCACAGAATGATCCAACTTACATGCTATGAAAGAACATCCAAAATTACTGAAGTTGAAAAGAAAATGAACAACAACAAAACAAAATAAACCAATTTGCATTATATAGTATAATAAGGGTAAACAGACGGCCTTAATCACAGTCCTAAAATGATTCATCCATGACTGGAAGCCAATCTTTAGTGACTCTTTATATCTGTATTTGAGATACAGTAAACCTACAGATGATACAGTTAATGTTAGGGCCATCATTTTCTTTTCTAGGTAATTATTTCAATTTTAAAAAATATAAAAACTGCTTATATGACTCCTTAGCAAAGACCATTCATTGATACTCTCTTTACAACTCAATTTCCAGGGGAGGGCACAGCAATTGTGCAGTTTGCTCCACAACCAAAAAGCATCGGCATGCACACACATAGGAGGCTCTACCCGGACTTCCTTGGCATAGTCCAGATTATTTTTCTCTAAACAGGAAGCTGTTGACAGTTTGCCCTGGTATTTTCAGAATGCCATACGCCTCATTTATAAGAAAAACCCCAACTTTTGTTTCAAAGTATAATGTTTATTCCGTTCGCGCCATTCCTATTGTTACTAATTATGAAAGCAGCAAACAAAGATAGAAACCAAATTTCAGACTATTCTAGGCTGATTCAGACTAAGGAAGCAATTGTGAAAAAAAGCAAAGTTAGTAACACATTGCTTGGCTATGCTGGAGTTTTTAAACCTAAAACAATGCTGAAAAGAGAGTTCCTGGAATTCAACGAGGGAATATTTGGCTCAAGCTGCAAAATCCGTAATGTTATGTTAGCAAGTGTTGAGCAAGCAAGGTGATTATATTTTAACCTACCTCACAGAACATTAATCCAAATTTAACCAAATTCCAGAGACTGCACACAAAATTAACAACTAGAAGCTGCTTCACGTTTTCCCCCTGATAAACTAATTGCTCATGAAGACAAACTTGTAAGAGGTAAGAGAGAGCAGAAAACCACAATGAGCTTTTAAAACACCTAAGTAGTGTGCATAAAGCAAACTAATTACCTCACACGGAAGAAGTGCAAGAGTTAACAGTCCATGCTCTGCAGCCGCTGGGAAGCAACGGCAGGGGCGCGGTGGTGCGAGCAGCAGCCTGAACGTCCAGCATCCACCGGATTCTCACAAGCCTTTGACTGTGTGGACTCAGCCACAGACTCTGCCTCCAGCTGACGTCAAAGTCCCTGTCACATGGCCAGATGAAAGCCAAGAGAGCATTGGTTGTCGTAGCAACCACAGACCGGCTCTGAAATTATTTCAATAGGTCATCTGTCACTGTGGGGTGTGTGTGTGTGTATGTGTGTGTGTGAGAGAGAGAGAGCATGTGTGTATGTGTGAGAGTGTGTGTGAATGTATACGTATCCACCCCACAACATCACGGACAGCTCCCTGATAACCTCAACACCCAGAGTGGTTGTGACTCAAGAGTGCCTTCAACTTTCTCCTTAAGGCTTTGACTGGTCGTCTCTTCATTACATTTACTTGCTGGACAACAGCTGCCACTCTGAAGCCCCCTTAGTCTTATTATCACTAGCATGAAGCATGTCTCTGTACAACAAAAGGAAAGAAACTGGAAAATGCTGGAGACAGTTTACTTAGCTAATTGAATTTACTTTTAAGCAAATTAATAAAAATAGAAACTCAAGTGGGGTTAAAAGACAAGATATTTTAAACACTGTATAAAAATCCACATAGATGTATTAAGACCATGCTAAAGAAAAACATAGTGATACTGCCTCGGAAACCCATGGGTCGCTATGAGTCGAGTCAGACTCGATGGCACGTAACAACAACAACAATAACACAAAGAAAGACAAGACACACAGTGGATGGTGATCCAGAGACGGAAGAGAAGATCTAACGATTCTGATCTCAGCTAGGATGGAAAAACCAGATAAGATGAATTTAGAATTCCTCCCTTGTAAAATGTCTGTGCAAGAATGATGATAAAAAGAGTCTCAAAGCAGCAAACTTTAAAACAACTTGTAAAGTTTAAGACTTTTTTGGCCCTTGGTTTCAGGACCACCATATTGTTGCTAGCTGTCATTGAGTTGGCCTCTGACTCATGGTGGCCTCACGAAAAACAGAAAGAAACAGGTCCTGGTTCTGCACCAGTCCCAAAATAAGTTGGGGAGGAAGGTTATGGTCAGAAACCTGTTTGGCATCAGAGTGACATTTAAGCCTCCACTGACAGATGAATGATGGAAGTGCATTGACCAGCATTCAGATCTAGGTCTCTGGCATGGAAGGTGAGAACTCTACCACCGAACCACCACTGCCCCCATAGATGTTAGATCCTTCCCTCCTAAGTCCTTCCCTCCACACCCCTTTGTTGAGAAACAATGTTGAGCAAATAGGTTAATACTCTACAAACACAAAGTTCAATAAAAGCCTGGAGCAGCAGAATATAAGGAGAGTCTCATTGTATTTTCTAACTTCAGCTTCATTTCCTTTAGGACCAACCTAAATTATTTAAACTCTGCACGTATATTTATGTTCTAGTTAATGCTTCATGTAATCAACAGGAAGTCAATTAAGCAAAACTGAATGAAAGCCACAGAAAGGTACTTTGAAAGAAGACATTCAGAAATGTATGCTCATTCCAAGGGCAGAGGGGTTAAAAGTCCGGGAGAAGAGTTTGCTCTCAAAACCTTAAGGACCTTTTCATGCTAGGGTTATCAGGATTTCTATTCTGGTTTCTTTAAAAGAAAAAAAAAATGTGTAGCTCTGGGGTGCTATAAAATATAAAAGGAAGCTAAGCTAGCTAGGCAGATTACGTTTGTGTCACTGTAAAAGAATGAGCTTTCTTCACTTAGAGTCAGAAAACTTCTTTAACAATAAGACTAATATCCAAACGGCTTGTCCAAAGAACTTCCTCTTACATCTTCCTTTACTGCTCCTCCCAATCTTACTGGGGGAAAAACATATACTTTTATTTGAAAAGTTTTTTCCTGATGTTATTAACTATGTTGTTGTTGTTAGGTGTTGTTATGTCAGTTCCAACACATAACAGCCCTAGTAGAACAGATGAAACTCTGCCAAGTCCTGCACCATCCTCATGATCACTGCTATGCATGGAGCTCTGGTAGCATAGTGGCTAAGACACTTGCCTGCTAACCAGACGGCTGGCGGTTCAAACCCACCAGCCACTCCTCGGAAGGAAGGTTGGGCAATCCTACTTCCGTAGTGATACTGCCTCGGAAACCCAAGGAGGGGTCGCTATGAGTCGGGTTTGACTCGACGGCACATAACAACAACAACAACAACATGCATGAACCAAAGGGCCAACTCATCTCGTTGAGCGTCCTCCTCTTTTTTGCTGACTCTCTACTTTTCCAAGCATGATGTCCTTTATCAGGGACTGGTCCCTTCTGATAACATGCTTAAAGTACATGACAGGAAGTCTTGCCATCCTCACGTCTAAGGTGCATTCTAGCTGTACTTCTTCTGGCAACCCATGGGTGTATTCAATATTCTTCGCCAACGCCATAATTCAAAGTCATCAATTCTTCCTTGGTCTTCTTTATTCATTATCCAGTTTCACATGCCTACGAAGCGATTGAAAATACCATGGTTTGGGTCAGGCACACCTTAGTCCTCAAAATGACATCTTTGCTTTTGAACACTTTAAAGAGGTCTTTTGCAGCAGATTTACCCAATGTAATACATTGATTTCTTCACTGCTGCTTCTGTGGTTGTTGATTGTGGATCGAAGTAAAATGAAATCTTTGAGAACTTCAAACTTTTCTCCATTTACCATGATATTGCTTATTGGTCCATTGGTCAAGATTTTGTTTCCTTTATGTTATGTTGAGAGGTAATACATACTGAAGGCTGTAGTCTTTGATCTTCATCAGTAAGTGCTTCAAGTCATCTTCACTTTCAGCAAGCAAGGTTGTGTCATCTGCATACCACAGGTTGTTAATAAGCCTTCCTCCAATCCTGATGCCGTGTTCTTCTTCTTATATTCCAGCTTCTCGGATTATCTGCTCAACAAACAGATTGAATAGATATGGTGAAAGGATACAACACGGACACACAATTTTCCTGATTTTTAGACCATGCAGTATCCCCTTGTTCTGTTCGAATGACTGCCTCTTAGTCTATGTACAGGTTCTTCATGAGCACAGGTAAGTATTCTGGAATTCCCATTCTTTGCAATGCTATCTATAATTTGTTATGATCCACACAGTCAAATGCCTTTGCATAGTCAATAAAACACAGCTAAATATCTTCCTGGTATTCTCTGCTTTCAGCCAAGATCCATCTGACATCAGCAATGATATCCCTTCTTCCACATTCCCTTCTAAATCTGCTTGAATTTCTGGCAGTTGCCTGTCTATGTACTGCTACAACCGTTTTTAAGTTAGTTTCAGCAAAATTTTACTTGTGAGTGATATTAATGATATTTTTCAATAATTCCCACATTCTGTTGGGTCCACTTTCTTTGGAATGGGCACAAATATGGATTTCTTCCAGCCAGTTGGCCAGGTACCTGTTTTCCAAGCTTCTTGGCATAGATGAGTGAACTCTTCCAGCATTGCATCCATTGGTTGAACATCTCAATTGATATTCTGTCAATTCCTGCAGCCTTTTGTGTGTGTGTGTGTGTGCGCGCCAATTCCTTCAGTGCAGCTTGGACTTCTTCCTTTAATACCATTGGTTCTTGATGATATGTTATCTCCTGAAATGGCCAAACATTGACGAATCTTTTTTGGTACAGTGATGGTGAAAGACTTCTATCTTCTTTCGATACTCCTTACACCATTCGATATTTTACCCACAGAATGCTTCAATATTGCAACTTGAGGCTTGAATTTTTTCTTCAGTTATTTCAGCTAGAGAAATGCTTACTGTGTTTTTCCCTTTTGGTTTTCTAACCCCAGTTTTTTGCATACTACACTATAATACTTTATTTTGTCTTCTCGAGCTTCCCTTTGAAATCTTCTGTTCAGCTCTTTTACTTCTTCATTTTTTCCATTCACTTTAGCTACTCCCTGTTCAAGAGCAATTTCAGAGTATCTTCCAACATCCATTCTGGTTTTTTCTTTCTTCCTTGTCTTTTAATGACCTTTTGTTTGCTTCATGTATGATGTACTTGATGTCATTCTATAACTTGTCAGGTCTTGATTCACTGGTGTTCAATGCATCAAATCCATTCTTGAGATGGTCTCCATATTGAGGTGGGATATAATCAAGGTTGTATTTTGGGTTTCATGGATTTGTTTTAATTTTCCTCATCTTCAACATGAACTTGCATATGAACTATTGATGGTCTGTTCCACAGTCATTCTCAGGCTTTGTTCTGACTGATAATATTGAGCTTCTCCATCATCTCTTTCTATAGATACAGTCGATTTTGTTCCTTTGTATTCTACCTGGTGAGGTCCATGTGTACAGTTGCCGTTTATGTTGTTGAAAAAAGATATATGCAATAAATAAGTCACTGGTCTTGCAAAATCCTAACATGCACTCTCCAGTGTCACTTCTATCACCAAAGCCATATTTTCTAACTACCAATCTTTTTTTGTTTCCAGCTTTCCCATTCCAATCATCAGTAAATATCAAGTATCTTAAAGGCATGTTTGATCGATTTCAGACTGCAGAAGTTGGTAAAGAATCTTCAATTTCTTCACCTTTGGCTTTGGTGGTTGGTGCATACATTTGAATAATAGTCATATTAATTGGTCTTCTTTGTAGGTGTATGGATATTATCCCATCACTGACAGTACTGTACTTCAGGATAGATCTTGAAATGTTCTTTTTGACTAGGAATGCAGCGCTGTTCCTCTTTAGTTTGACATTCCTGGTATAGAGGACCATATGATTGTCTGATTTAAAATGTCTAATACCAGTCCATTTCAGCTCTCTAATGCCTAGGATACCAATCTATGTGTTCCACTTCATTTTTTTTTTCAATTTTCCTAGATTCATATTCATACATTTCACATTCCAATTATTAATGGATGCTTGCAGCTGTTTCTTCTTATTTTGAGTTGTGTCCCATGAGCAAACAAAGGTCCCAAAAGCTTTATTCTATTCACCTCATTAAGGCTGACTCCACTTTGATGAGGCAGCTCTTCCCCAATCATGTTTTGAGTGCCTTCCAACTTGAAAGGCTCATATCCTGCCAC